ATATATAATTATATATATAATAATTATATATATATATATATATGAATATATGAATATATATATATGAATCTGTATATGAATTAAATATATATATATTATACATATTATTTCAATTTAATATTTCATTCAATTTAATATTAAATAAAATTGTACTATAATGTTAATTATAAAAAAAAAATGTATACAATTTATTTAAAAGTATTTATTTCATACATTATACGGATAAAATAAAATAAAAATGAAATTAATTTAACAATATTAAATAATAATGTCCAATTTATGATCCATTGTTTTCATTAGGAGGATTATAAAATGAAAGTTTAACTTCTTCATGTCTGTGAAAAAATAAATTAATATAAATGTACATTTTGAATAAAATATAATTAATAGATGATATATAAAATTAAAATTGAAATGGAAAGATTAGTTTTATTTTGCATCATTTCTAAAAATTTGAGATGATAATGTATATGTCCTCTAAGATGAAAAATATTATTCAATTATTACCTTTCAGTAGTATTATTAGTTGTATTATCTGCATCTGTTAATATACCAATTTCGTATACCATTGCTTTTATGACATATCTGCAAAATATAAATAAAAAAGAGAAAAAAAATTACATAATTGGATAAATAAATAAATATATATATACATAAATTGGATAAATATATATATATATATATACACATATTGAATTGTTAAGATTATAAAATATTCTTACAAATTATCACCAATTGAATTATTTGATGATGATTCATTTGTTAACATTACAGCTGTTGTATTATAATTCATATTAGGTACAGATAATGTTATACTTAATTGTATACATATATTAAATAAAAACAATATTAAATACAATACTTGAAAAGTTTTAAAGCTTCGATCAATTTCACTCTTACACAACATTTTCAACAATGCCTTGATTTTTCAAGCAAGCATTCTTTTATACTAAATATTAGAGGCTCATTAGCACTACTCCCTCTTCTCAATAAGTTACAATATACATTATGATACATATTTTCATGTTACTCACAAATAAGAATGGAAAATTTTTTAAGAGAAAAATCCTTATAAATAATATATTTAAAGTAGGTATAATATATATTGTAGAATGATATATAAGATATATATGTATGTATTTAATGCTTTTTTAAAGAAAAATTGTAAAAATATTATTTTGCAAGATAAATTATAAGAAAAATTTAAACATAAATTAGTAATTATGGTAATTTAATTTTTGATTTAAATATTATTTTTGTATAAATTACAAATTTCTTGTATGAACATATTAAAATATATAATTTTAGCAATTATACTATTATTAGTTTAATTATTAACAATATCTTCAAATATATATT